TCCGAAGACGTTGACGATTGCGGTCTTGAAATTGGACCAGGTGGCAAAATCGGACGCGTGGTTGTTGTACCACAAACTGACGACACCGGCAAGGTAAAACACCAAGTTTGTCAGCTTGCCGTCCTCGTCCCATTTGTTGGGGACGCTCACGCGGTCGTAAATGGCGAGCCAGTCCTCCACGTCAGTGCCATCAGCGCCAGTGAAGATGGGTGGATCGCGGATTCTGGGGACACCGGGACAAGGGGGTGGCATTGGAGGAGGCGTTTGCTGAGAAGCGTCTTGGTACATAGTAGATGGCAGGGTACGTGATCGTAGCTCCAAAGGCATAGACAGGGATCGCAGCACTCTCCACCAAATTGTTAAGGCGTTTATTAGCCGGCAACGAGCGAGAATATGCAATGGCGACAGTCACAGCAAAGCACGGGCTCTCGGCGCGAGCGGCGTCCTTGTTGGGTAGCCCCACTAGAAGGTACGCAAGAGTTCGACCCATTTCATAGTTCGGAGGCTTCGCTACAAAAGAAATACGGATATCTTACTGGAGTGAGCTGCGTTCTGTCTCAAATAGCTCAACGAAGGAAAAAGTGGCCCCGCATGTGCATGTTACACTGCAAATGTCGTCGAAAGGCGATAGTCTTGCGTCTGTAGAGAGTGAGTAAAACGTCAGTCTCATGTTCTGCGCAAGAAAATCAGTGAATGGTATTTTGTAGGTGCTGCGTTTGAGTGTCTCGAGCGTGCAGTGGAGGCGAACGAGAGCACAGTCACGTCACACGTGAGACATGAGTGCCACCTGGCAGTTATCTTGGAAAACGAAGCGCGCGTGCCGTGCGAGCCCGTCTCGGAGGTGATAAGGTGTAGAACGCAAGGCCATAAGTAAGTGCCACAACCGTGTCGTCTAAGCAAAGCGTTGGAAACTCTAGCCTTTTCGCGCAAGTGTTGCATGGTCAGCGCAACATTATAAACGCTATGGTCCTTAGAATTACTTATGTATGCCTTTTCTAGTAAGAGATACACATACGTGTTGTTATGGTGCCTCAAATATGCGCAATAGTTGTTTTTTATTCACACAGGTATGAACGTTAAATCTTGAGCACTATTGGTGGGCGCTGCGGATGGGGTTGGCCGTTTGGAGTATCGTTTGGCCACTTTGGTGCCGTTTAGGGTAACGTTAAGGGCAGACAAACAGACAAGTTCACACAGATAGACCAAAGTTTTTGCGTCGAAGGTCCCAAGAAAGACTATCGTCTTTAAAATAACGTAGGAAGTTTTATATTTTGCGTTCAAAATACGGGCGCTACTGTGGAACCACTTTCGCTGGCGGTAGGATGCTCGTAGGAAGAGCTCGCACCCCTCACCTGCCCTATACATGGTGGCTTCTATAGCAGAACCCATGGCAAAATCGAAACTGACGAAATGCTTACCGTCAGGTGGCGTATATATGAAAAGGGTCTATTGTGGTATGACCATGAGATACATGTGCCATGCCACGCGTAAGCAGGGACAATGCGTTTCGTTTAGAAGGCCTTTAAATGTGAACATAAATATAATGCAGTTTTACGCAAGAAACGTACCATATTATTGCTAGAATATTCAACCTAGTGCTTATAGCTTTGAAGCCCGCGACAGTACGGGACTCTCATTTCATTTTTATTCCCAGGGTTCCTCAGTTTTCGACCCAGTAAACAGTAGGGGACAGTACGGGACGTGAAAGCTAACACTGAAAATTCATCGCAGAGGTGTTTGAGCGACGCATGATCGATGTGGACTGTTCGAAATAGCGCGGGACACTGAGTACCCGTGCTCAACATGGATCGCCGCGCCGTGTCCGTTGCAGTGTTCACGTTTTGTTGTTGTTTCATTCGTTTTTTCTTTCAAAGCTGCGCCAGGGAATGGGCTTTCATCTGTGCGAGCAAATGACTCATCGCCTTCATTTACGCCGCTAACATTTATGTTTGGGTGTGAACATTGACCACAGAAAGTTTGGTTCATTAATAGCATAGTCGTGAGTAAGCCATGATAGTTTGCGTGACCCAGCCGCTGTTCACGTCATCACATCATTAGTACACACTACAATTTCTCAGTGACACGAACTCTTCGGATCGCGAGTTGTTCCGATCGCCGCTGATCTCTTTAAAGAGTGCACGGTGTCACAGAGGCGCAGAAAGAAGCGTTTTATTCCGAGGTTGTGTGCTTAGACGACAGCACAAATACGTTCTTGGTTCAACAGAAGGCAGGCTTTCAGTTTCAGTCAGAAAGCTGAATTGTACAACTTCACTCTGGATCGCGCAACTCTTCTCCTGCATATCGATGATTTGGGTGCGCTTTGAAGACGCGCACTGGGAAAAGCCAGGTGTGCGCTGTCAACTCCCTGTCCGCGTCTACCAAAAAGTATATCCACATCGTCAGCATGCGCAACCAACTGGTGCAATTAAGTTCGCTGACTGAAATCTTCTGAAGTTTGTGCATTTTCTGGCGGCCAACGTTAGAGGGTTGCGCTCATTCTCCTCGATAGATATTTCGCATGGCGCAAGTCGGCCACGCGAGCCGTGTTATCTGCAGCAGCGGCTGTGGCTGTACCTCCCGTGCGCTAAGTCGAGCCCCTTCGTGTAGCCACTGGACGGTGCTGTAAACACATACAAAGAAATGCACCAAAAATGATAGAGCAGCAAACTCAAACACATCATAGAAACACCGCCGGGACCACTAAAAAGGCAATACCGAAAGTGGCGCGCTTAAAAGTCTTCTGGGGTAGGCCGTTCGACGTGAGCCAGTTTTCTTTTTTTGCAAACACTGAAACCGTCTATATACACCGGGAGCAAAATTAAGCGTCCCATTCAAATTAGCGCCCTAAAAAGCTACAAGGGTTAAGAAAGTTAGCAGGAAAAAAAATCCAAGGCCCGTGAATCTACGCAGACACCCATTCTCTGCACGAATACAGCAACTTCCAGGTTTGCAGTTCTCACGCTTAGTTCGTCTGCTCGATGCGTTACGCTTCTAGAACACAATGAAAGGACTAGTTTGAAAAAGTTCATCGCATCATTACACATCAGAGGCGTCTGCGAAGTGCTTCTAAAACCTTCACATCTGCAGCAATTTTTGCAGCGTTGCGCATGATTATGTACAGCCAGCAATGTGAAGATCGCACGTGTGAACGTTATTTACCATTTTACGCATATTTGTCTTTTAAATATGCTACCCAGCATTTATTTACTTATTATAGTATGTTAGCGCTACCCTATTTTCTCAAAAACATAAATTCAAGGGCCACCAAAGTGCGAGAAAATGCAGTCTTCGGCAAAAGTGTACTTCCCGCTGTTGTCTCCCTAGGGGCAATCGTATCACCATCCGCCATGTTGGATGTATAGACGCGCCACCGATATGTCCTTACTCGAAACGTCAGCGTTGCTCATAGCATCCATCCGTACTAAAAGTAGTTCTTCAACGCATAAAGCAACGCGCCTGCTTCGCCTGGATCATGGCGTAAGATACAATTTTACTTTTTGTATCTTGCATCGTGGCTTGGGTAGGCAGGTAAAAAACTTTATTTGTCCTTTGGAAAGGAAAGTGTCAATGAGACAGAGAAAAGGAGAGCTTGCTACGCTGTGTAGTGCTTCGCAACCCGCTCTGCCCAACCCAGGATGGCCTCCTGGAAGTCAGGTTTCAAGCTGCGCAAGGCAGTCTGCCACTGCTCTGTAACTCCGCGTCCACCTATAGCGTTCTCTGCTTGCGCTTGCTACGCGAAAAATTATAATCGGCGAACAGAAGTCGCCTCTCTAATCGGCCAGTAGCCCCGCCACGGTGGTCTGGCGGCTAAGGTACCCGGCTGCTGACCCGCAGGTCGCGGGATAAAATCCCGGTGGCGGCGGCTGCATATCCGATGGAGGCGGAAATGCTGTAGACCCGTGTGCTCAGATTTGGGTGCAGGTTAAAGAACCCCAGGTGGTCTAATTTTCCGGAGCCCTCCACTACGGCGTCTCTCATAATCATATGGTGGTTTTGGGATGTTAAACCCCGCATATAAATCAATCTAATCGGGCAGTGGCATTCAATAAATCTAACACCCCGTGAGTAAGCAACCATAGCCCATGTTTGTCGAACAATCAGTCGTGCTCTTGCAGCTGTTACATCACTTTCTGATTGCCTCCGCTCTCACTATAAACTACTACAGCTACTACATACATCCATGATCACAGGAGCATATACTAATTTGTTAATTAATAATCGTATACACGATATTTATCGGGATGAAGCTGTATTACTAAGCGTCAACGGGGATGGATTTACACAAATGGTGCTTTAGCAGTTGGACACCAACAGACATTCTATAAGCTACCTCATTCAATGCACAGTAAACATTAACGGTAAGTAGGCGTTCTACTTTCGTGTTATACCGATTCTTATCACGGAGGGATTAGCCATGTTTTTCTTTTATGGCAATAATCTGTTTGATTGCCTGCGATCAATGTCTAGCTTCTCATCCGCGTCTTTCGTGGAACTTATAGTGCAGGCTTAGTGCCACCCACGAATACCAGCACTTACGTATGGAGTTACGCTGCAGACATACCAACCATCGCTTCTAATACAAATTCAATAGACTTTCAGTGATAATTTCGCCATACATATACGTATTTGCGTAGCGTGCGAATGAACAGTTTACTATGTAAACACAAGTAGAAACAAAGGAAGAAAAAATAACAAAGTAAGACATAAATGTATATTCGTGCTGACATTTACGTGAAAAGTTCAGTTAAACGTTGTGCCCATGAATACAACTATGCTCTTTTTTAGAAGATACAATGAGAATTGCTGCTTGTTTTGGGCACGATGCTCCAAGTCTACAGCGGGAAACCGCAAATGTTCCAGGAACTGCATTCTGCAACATTTTATTTCGACGCTATATTTCCGGGCAAAGCCTAGCCTATGGCTTTCTCGCGATGTTAACATCCCACAAGCTCTTAATCGTTACATGGGCTTACGTTTGTGTATAACCACGTCCGATGCAGACTCCGTCTACTTCCTCGTCTCTTGAGGGGCGTAGCGGACCGAAGCTTGGAGACCATGTTGCTTGGTAAGCGAGTCTCGCTGCCTGTTGGAATTTCACCAACAGCCTTCCACAAGATGGCCCATCCTGACGGAGAAGCGGCCACGGCCAAAGGTGAGCGTGCCCGAATTTATTAGTAGTAACAGTGGCACCTGTTTGACCCTTTCGACCCTGGCGGTGTCGCTATACAACATTTCCCCTAGCACTCCATCATATGGCATTAGAGTGCCCTAGCTATGCATCTAGAACCGATGTTTCGGGCGCGTAGCTTCTGAAGCCGTAGGGCGTACGTCCCCACTGTATGCAGCAGTAATGTTAAATAGTATTGTAATTGTCGATTTAAAGATAACTTTTCTGGTAACGTATGCTGCACCACACGCTTATGGTTCTGCCCTGCGTGCGGTGTAACGTGTGCACCAAGGTGAGCCATATCATGTGCTGTAGGGTCACGCAACAAACAAGAGCGGGAAGTTAGCTCTCATACTGTCGTCTTTTTTTTTTTTTGCCTACTTCACCGTAGCATCTTCTCCTCACGCTCAAACGGAGCTGTGCTAAAGCAATGCTGTTTTATCACGCCCCAACTTGCCTACTCAGCAGTGCTATAGTCTGGCAAAATTCGCAGGCGATTGGCCCGTTCAGTTGCGACTTTTGAGATTATATTTAATTAGTGTCTGTTTTAGGGCGAAGCGCGTGCAGGCTACTAAGACGTCGCATGCAGCATGACGTAACCTCGCACAAGCCGGTGGCCCATGAGCAACGTGCCCATGAGCTAATCCGAATACAGTGTTGTACCCATAGCTATTCCGCATACAACGGAGCGCTACATACAGCGTTGGCCCATGACCCATTTCGCATACAATGTTGTAGCCATTGATACTGCGTTGTACCCATTAGCTATTCCGAATACGCTGTTGTACCGTATACAGTGTTCATCCATGAGCTATTCCGCATAAAGTGTTGTACCCACTAGCTATGCAGTGTTCACCCATGCATACAGCGTTGTATCTATGGGCTAGCCATTCTGCATGCAGCGTTGTACTGGACCTCCATACCACCACACAACACCGCAACGTAAGTATCACTCATCACCTGTCACAGCACGAATAGATAACACAACTCAGCGCGTCGTACTTCTATGCTTGCATGCACGCGTCCACTGCCGACGAACACTGCTAAAACAGAGATTGAATTTCATCTACGCTTGAAATGAAAGTAACTAACGTGGTTGCTTGGGTGAGTTGGTACGACACATCTACGCTTGAGCCGCGATCACTGGCTACCTTCTCACACATTTCCAGTCTCACATGAAACATGCTATTTGCCGCGCGTCGTTATTTCCGTTGAACTTCGGAGAAGTCATGAGGGCAACGGTGAAAATGCACCAGAAAAACCCATGTGATTTCTTTCGCAATCGGGGCACTCTGAACATCGAATACGCTGGTGCACAGAAATTAAAGCACTGTCTATATGCTTGAGCCAAGAAATTGACTGATATGATGTGCTTGCCTTGATGTGTCTTATTTCAAGGTGGAACAATAGTTGTAGTTTTTGACGTAGCATATTGAATGTCATTCCAACGCACTTGCCATTATTGTTTATTTTTCAGAAAGTCTACTTGCCTGTTGCAAAGAGACAGGCAGTTTTGTATTGCGAGCCTAGCAGCATGCTGCGAAGATGTTGCGAAGGACAGAACCTGAAAGACACAATTATTTGGTTTACAACAAGACAGACGCGTTTCTCGATGCTATTACCTATTAAAGAAGTAAATGTGGTGTGAATCACAACTCAAGTTCCTTGAATCTTTAAATATCACCCAGGCAGCGCTAATGTGATTCAGATCATGTGGAATTCAGTTAGTGTTACCTTCTAGTCAATGCTGTTGTGACCTCGGGGATGGTAAAGATGATAGAAAAGATGAAAAGAATGTGACAATAGAGTTCTACTGATATTTTATAGCACACGAAAAAACACCTACTGCGAAGGACGAGACTCATACTGGCGCTAACATTCAACAAAGTTTATTTCGAAAACAGGAAACCGCATATATAGGCAGCATCGCTTTTCAACCCTCGTCTTTAGAAGAACTCTGCTGATTCAGGAATCTTTGCTTAGATAGGTTATCTTTTTAGAAGAAAGAGCAATATATGGCTTGGAGATACTTATCTGCCAGCCTGTCAATCGATTCAGCCTCGATAATATCGCGTGCTAGCCGACCTCTGCTGGTACTGATAACTGAACATTCCTGAAAAGCATCAATTAACTGGATTCCTCACTCGAAGTGATTCCACTACGGGGGTAGTTTTGCTAGAACGTTTGAAGCGATTGCGCTGACTTTGCACAAGATTGACACGACAAAAATTACATGAACGGATACCACTGCCGTCAATCACTACCTAAACAACATTGCAGCATAAAATTCTGTCATGTTAAGCAAAATTCTGCCTTCTCCAACTCGTCATAGCAGGCCTTCTGCCATATCTAATGATGAAGAGACCCATTCGTTGGTTATTTATACCTTGATCCTTGCCGGAAGTTTTGTAGAGTACTGTCTTAGTTGTCTTCTGTGATATCACAATAAAAAATCTTTTTGCTAGCGCTATATACTCTGCAAGGCAGTCCTTCTGATTGTTGTATATTTGTAATAGAATCCCCTTTTCTCCGTGTGACTGACGTACAAGCGAAAAAAAAAAGCTGGCATGACTTTGTGGTAGAGCGATCAACTCAACAAAAGGTACTGCGTTCCATTCCATTTTTTGTGAATTATAGCTGCACGGCGGACAACTGTACGCTTCGGAAAGCTGCTGTTGTGAGCCCATAACAGCTTCCGCAGTAAAATCCTTTATCGATTGCAAAATGCATTGTCCCACGCTATGCTCTGTAGTCAATGCGGGGTGCAAAGTTTCGGCAGCCAATAAAGTACTATATAGTGATAATGGTATACCAGTGGCACATCAATAGATTACAAATGTTTATTTATCTCAGATCCTTAGCATGAAACTCGGTCAATCAATACGATGATTCATAAATTTTATATCTAGGTGTGATTTCGTACAGTGAAGCGGTTTCGTGAGCACTTTGCTGTACAGTCAGCCATGACATTAGATATTGTGCGCAGCGACCCCTTTTTTGTTTGTCAGTGTCATAATATGAAACTAAGGTACGAAATATTGCTTCGCAGACATGTGCTTTGAGGGCATACACTTGCCCTTAATTCAACTGTAACTTCTTTCAGTCGCGTGGCAAAGATACACAAAAGAAAAAAAAACTGACACTCATGCACGATAGCTAGAGATTTGTCGGACTGTACATATCCAAGTGCCTAAAAAAGAAAAAAAAAACTGCGAAACCGTATTCTGCTCAGAGTTCCGGGAGAATCAGTAAGACATTGAGTTTTAAACTGAATCAATTTGATATTTGATTTCACGAGAATTGTATAGTGTTCTACATTGAGAAGTGCTGAAAAACTGTGCCCTCCTACTTTCACGCTGTTTCAAAGATAACAAGCTCGGCTAGGTGGTCTCTAGGTGGCACTCGCTTGGTCGAGTGGGGGCCTCACGTGCGTCTTCGTTGGACCTAAGTTGTCATCACCATCATTAGCGACACACTAATATTCAAACTCGACACAAAGTTCACGTTGAAACAAAACAATGTATTCAGCCCTCCCACATTCCCTCTATTCTTCCGTATATGTACCCTCTTTTTTTTCCCTTTCTCTTCTAAAGTTACATCACTCTTTCAATGGCGGCGACGCATGCATGTAGAGGCCGACACAAGCGTGGCGATCTAAAACTGTTCTGCCGCATTTGTTGCTGCGATGCTCGCGGGGATTTTCTGCGCTTGAACCAATTACGCACCCGCTGCAGGTTTCTCAGCGCAGGGACAGACAAGAAATATTGCCACTCTATAAATAAGTAGCTATCCTGTGTTCTTCGGTGCTCTCTCTGACGATTTATTTTATGTTTTCAGCCGCGGCTAAGGCGGGAACGGTGATGATCGTCAGCATATCGAGCACCACTGCCTTAGAGGACGTCAGGCACGCCGCACCCGACGCCCTGCTGTGGTTTCAGGTTTGTTCAAAACGATGCTTGATCTCTCACTCACAATCACGGAGCCATTTACTCCAGCCCAGAATCTCGGGAGCAGTATTCTTTTAAGAGAGGGTATCCGAACGCCGACAAGACCGATATTAAAACTAATGTGTTAACAGTATCCGAGGAATAGCACATCCAGGACGGGACAAAGAAGACAGGTAACGCAAACACAACGCTAAATTTCAACAATGGCGTTTTTTTCGAGAATCAACAATACATGTACTTTAACACGTGCACGTACTCAAACCAGAAACATTGTTTATGATGGAAATCACGTGACACTCAAATATTCTATTTCTGTGGCTGATAATGGTACAGATGGTTTACTGATACACGTGCCACCAAACTCGGCGTTGACTCGCGCTTCTATAAGAAGCCTTGTCGTTTCGTTCCTTTCAGTGATGTTCGTGTGATTGAAGAGGGGTTGGCATGCGCACTCCTTGCAGTGAAGTGTGAGGAACCTATCTGGCCGCTCCTTAGCATCTTAATTTGTTGAGCCTCTCGTTATGAATAACCAACAAGCCCGCCGCGCCACCTTAGATGAATGTATTAACGTTTCGCATCTCACGCGGGGAACGTGCTCACCATAAAAACAACTGCGCATTTTACGATCTTATTTTTTTTGTTCGGTTTGGTGCGTGACGTGACAAAAGGTTACCTTCGTCACGATTTCGAGTGTGTCGCAGGTTTTGGATTAACGAGCACTAGAGATAAAGCAAGGTATCTTTTGAAAATATTTCATGCCGGACTAGCAGGCTTCCGTAATGCTCTCAACTGCATTCAGGGGCATTGTATCTAGATCAACGGCCTACAAATATGACGATAGGACAATTTTTTACTGAACACGAATGCGAAATACAAAGACACGGCTGTTAAAAAAAAGAAAAAAAAAAAACCAGGATGGTCCTAGACTATAAACGACACAGAACTACCAACACCTCTTCTGGTTGTTCTTTTCACGGCCTGGTTTTATTCCAAGTCCCTGACGGATTCATGACAGCCAGATGGCTTAGTCGATCTCTTAAGCAAAGGCGTATACGTTGATTATATGTACTGCGGGCAGTGTGTCTTAAACTGCTGGAAGAAACATGGAGTAAATAAACTTCCACCCTGGGATTTCCACAACTTATTTAAAATAAATCTCCCTCTCAGTGCGCACCCTTAAATTTCAGTTTGGCGTTATAATACCCCAGTATACGACGTATACAGTCAATGAAGACAAACAACCAAAAGTATTGTAAGTGAATTTATCGCAACTGGGAAATTCCGCAAATATTCACGCAGTCACCCACTCTTTTCCACGAGAAGCACAGACCACAAACAGTGCTTCCTACTGACTGTAAATTTACTGCATTATGGCAAATTACCAACTAGCCCAACAACAAGTTTTAATAAATAAAAAGTATAGTACGGTTATTGCCATGCGACGTACACCCTAATCCGAAGCCTATGCAAGTCTTGCATAAGGAATCATATGCAAGCATCCATCTCTTTTATCGCAGGGAATGCGTGAAATTTTCACGCGGAAATCGTACTCATGCCTATATGCCTACTCATGCCTCATGCCTATATCGTACTCATGCCTATATAAGTTCTAGTAATGAGTCCTGAAAAGCCCGCGCGCTGCTTTTGGGGGCAGTAATTGAATCAGCGCGACCACGCTTTTTTTTTGACAACAGAAAAGCTGGACTTCCTGGTTGGCATACTTGACTCATGTAACAGATAAGTGGTTGCATGCCTTGATGATGATTAGTTGCGTGGTGATATCATCGTTTAAAATCTCATCCTGAGAGTAATATTCATTTGGAAATTATTGCCTCTCGGGGTTTGTATGGTCACTCGTGCAGAATTATGTTGACCATTCATGAATTATGTAGTGATAACAAGCTCGAAACCATGCGCTGAGCATGTTTGGGCCACAGTTCTTCATCAAGTCCGGAAGCTTGAAAAATAAAATAAAGCTATACCATTTGCAAGAGGAGCCATGAAACATAGTGCTGAATTTACAAAATTTTTTTGCAAGCGCATTGTGCCATTGTTAGGCACGCTTCGCGGATGATGTGTCCCACACCGGCATTGATATACACCGCCTTTGAGAAATACTTCTAATTTAAGACGACTTTGTAGATACGCGTTACCTGGTTTCCGTAACGACGTGGCAGTAAGCTGTGTTGGTAGCGCGCTGAAAACTATTCGTTGCACACCACAGGGCAACAATCTTGAGAAACAGGCGCGGTCTTGTCTTCGTGACCACGTAACTCACCCACGTTGAGTCGCACTGACTACATCTGCAGTAAACTACACGCAAGCGGTGCTGTAACGGGAGACATAACGTAAGGAAAAACTAACACATAAAAGTCGTGGACACGAAGGAACGACACTAAACGTCTTTTCAGCGCTAGTTCTTCCTTTGTTTTTGCTATAACAGGCCCAACGTCATCAGTTTAACCAGAGACATGCTCACGTTAGGAGAAAGGCTTAAGCAGAGTGGTGGTGGCTTCTCCGTTCAGACCAGCCGAAAGCTTGATTGCTCTTTATTCGGGCCTCGTGCCACACTTTTTGAGCTACACTGGATGTGTGGGGCTAGGGTAGTGCATTTTACTGATGACGACAATTCAATCGAACGGTGGCGTTGTAATGGTCTTCATCAATGTCGTTTTTGCTGCTCTTGGCACTTCCCGTAGCTCTGCGTCCTTGCGGATCGAGCGATCACGCATCGACTGGTAACAAGGGCAGAGAAGGCCGGCTACAGCGCCATCGTGTACACTGCGGATATTCCTGTGGGCGGCTCGAACACAGAGAGGTTCGGTGACTTTCTCAATGACTGCTCGGGAGACCTCCGGTAAGCAAGCATACAAACCACGTTCATCCATGGCCCCTGCCTGGTTATGATATAGAAGTTGTGTATGGCTAGGCAAAACCAAAATCTTAACGCACGCTTATTCGACCTTTCTACCTTTCTGTTGATAGACAGATTTAGTAGCGCGTCCGCAGGCGCCGTACGGACGCAGCCTGCGATATGTTTGCAATGGGAGGCGGCGTACGTACGGCTGCAGACGTGCAACTAAATCTGTCTAGTAATTTACCTCTCTCTCTTCTCTCTGTATGTTCTATATGCGCGGATGCGAGCTATGCGTCTTATGGGCCGGCACCTAGCACTTTATAGGCAGAAAATCAGGCCGGAGGATGAGATGAAGAAATTCGCAGGTATAACGTGGCAGCAGAGAGAAAACAGGACCGAGTTGATTGGCCCTGCAGTGGGGGCAGTCAGGCTGATGATGGTGATTATATGCGCAGAAACTGCTAGCGCGGATGTGCCATAAAAATAGGCAAAGAGCAGGCCCAAAGCCAGGATTTTTTTTTTTTTTTGGTGAGAGGCAGTTGTTGAAGCACTTGAAAGAATGCCTATTTTTATTCTTTGTCCTCGGTAAAATGCCCTCTTTATCAGAATTTCAGAAGCCAGCCCCCTCCTCTGGCAACGGCCGGAAAAAATACCTACTAGATGCCACTGGTTTACTGAAAATTAAGCATTCTACTGCGAGCGAAAAATGACTTAGGAATTCAGCGAAATGCGTTACTTACTGTACTGGTCCACAACATATGAAGCAGGATATGAAGCAGATAAAATTTCTCTTAAGAGGTGACCATTGATTGAGAAAGAACAGTACAAATTAACCCAGTGATAAATACCGATGTCAATCGTTTTAACATTGCTGGTTAACCTTAAGTGCGGAAAGCATGAGGGCAAAATTATTCATTTTCTTTTCTTAAAAGAAAAGAACAGTTGTGCTATCTGGTGGAGCCTGCAAGAAATAACGCTGCACTGGGAAGGAAGCTGCGTTATAAAACTCGACAGATTTCACGCGTTGTGGCGATCGGTTTTATGCGCAATCAACGAGTGGCAGCCTGTGCCGCATCTTCCGCTTTGAATGAAGGCTTGGGAATTGGATAGACTTTTTTTTCTGTTCTTTTAGTTTTTTTCTTACCGCATACCACAGTTTGAAGCACGATTTAATCACAAGTGCACGCCACGGTAGGATAACCTGCACAGTAGCTGTTGTCGGGCTATTCGGACAACGCATGGCTGTATAGCTTTGAGTGGGAATAACGCCAAAGTGGGTTTATCGACATTAAACGGCAGTATAGCTGTTAAACAATAATTGACATTGGGCAAGCTCTTTGACATGAATGTTCAGCAAACATTCAACTACTTCTATAAGGACGCGTTTTAATTTCGTGTTTTGCTGATCCCATGACTAAGGGATTAACAATGTTTCTTTTTTTTTTTTTGCTCTGTCCCACGGTGTGCTGTCCCGTTCATGTGCTGATCACGAAAGGTTTGCCAACTTTCGAGAAGAAGACGTCGCCAACACTGGCGGGAGATTTCAGCCTCGCCAGGTCATGAACCCGGAAAGTACTTGGTCCGACGTCGCCTGGCTCAAGAGCATCACCAAACTGCCCGTTGTCGTCAAAGGAATCCTCACTGGTAGGTGGCTAGACGGCAATAAAAAAAACTCTGGCCGAACGTGCTTTATCTCGCTGGAAGAGTAAGGGAAAGTTGAAACGTTGATGTCGAAGATAAGCTTACTGGCTACCTTAAGCATTCGCCTGACGTGTCTCATAGTTTGTTTGTTGCCTGTAAACTCTGGCACATACCCACTCTGGGACATTGGCCAAGAAAACTTGTAGTAGTCTCCATCTAACGACTACAAGCAAGCGCTTTATGCCCGGGTCCATTAAGAGTTCAGTGACTTATTGTCATCACAGAGATGACATTTAAAAATGCACCTAATTAGATAGCAAGGAGACATTTCATTCAATGAGAGCCGAACCCATTGTCTCTCTGTCTTCGACGACTGATGCCGGGCACGCTATTCAATGCGCCATGGTGATTTTCCCTGTCGATGTGTTCATGTCGATGTGAGTGGACCACGTCAATACCAAATTTGGGCCTTTTCACCCAATTTTGGGAGTTTTAGAGCTATTTCATTAGCGAAGCGGGCGAGGCCCCGCTATGCCTAACGACGGCTACCTTCGCTCCGACCATGTGCTCCGTCGGCGCGGCACTCGGGGCGGCCTTGGAGGCCTCCCCAGAGCTCGCCAGGCTTCGGAACGACGAAAACGACCAAAACTACGAAGAATACCAAGCCATGGACACCTCGGTCGCGGATATAAGTGCGGATTCTGCTCCAAAGGTTTGAAAATTCTAGGATCAACAGAAGTCGAATTATAGGGGTTGTGGTCACCCCATGTATTCCCTCCATAGGAAGCACAGGGCACGGTAGCTAATCGAATCTAACATAATCAAAGAAATCTAAGTGCCACCGACGAAAGTCGAGTTTATTGCTGGATTACACATCTGTGCGGAGGTTTATTAGCCGTTAAAGACAGCGACGAGACAGCGTGAAGAACCGTCCAGCGATCGGCACCGCAACGAACCGAAGCACGAGCCGAGAGATCCTGGCGTTGGCGATGCTGCTCGCTGCAGGCACATCTTCTTCTTCACAATCGCCCCCGCTGAAAAAGGAGCCATCCTGGCGACTTAAGAAGTTTCAGGCAAAGGCTCATGGTACGGTTTCAGTCGGGAAACATGGACGATGTCACGTGCACGCCGGCGCATGTCGTCCGATCGGGAAACTGGTTCAATTAGGAAATTAACCGGAGAGGTTTTCTCCAAAACGGTGTAAGGCCCCTCGTACCGGGGGACAAGTTTCGAGGAGAGTCCCGGTGTTTGGTATGGGATGGCAAGCCACACAAGAGACCCTGGGGCATAGTTGGCATCCGGAAGAGAGGTGCTACGGGTTTCTTTCTGGCGTTGTTGTTCTTCCGAGGTGAACGCACGGGCGAGCTGGCGGCACTCTTCGGCTTTCCTAGCAGCATCGGAGATAGGTGGACACTCGGAAGCATCAGGACGGTAAGGAAGTAGGGTATCAATTGTATGGGAAGGCTCACGTCCGTAAAGAAGAAAGAAAGGTGAGAATCCCGTGGTGGTTTGTATTGCGGTGTTATATGCGAACGTGACGTATGGGAGAACACGGTCCCAGTTGCTGTGATCAGATGCCACGTACATTGGGAGCATATCACCTAGCGTGCGGTTGAACCGTTCTGTTAGTCCATTAGTCTGCGGGTGGTATGCTGTCGTTTTCCGATGAATGACGTGGCATTCCGAAAGCAGAGTTTCGACGACCTCGGAGAGAAAAGCGCGGCCTCTGTCACTAAGGAGCTCTCGAGGTGCACCATGTCGAAGGATAAAGCGTTGCAAAATGAAAGAGGCGACATCCTGAGCTGTAGCGCTCGGCAAGGCGGCTGTTTCGGCGTAGCGTGTCAGGTGGTCGACCGCCACTATAATCCACCGATTACCATGTGGTGTCAATGGAAGGGGACCGTAGAGGTCAACGCCGACGCGATCAAACGGCTTGGCAGGGCACGGAAGTGGCTGCAATGCGCCAGTCGCACGTGGCAGTGTTGATTTACGTCGCTGGCAGTCAGGACAGCACTGCATGAATTTACGTACAAAATTGTACATGCCGCGCCAGTAATAGCGATGGCGAAGGCGTTCATATGTTTTGAACACTCCGGCGTGGCCACATTGCGGATCGTCGTGAAGGGAGGCGCATACTTGCGATCTTAAAGTGCGTGGAATGACCAGCAACCACCGGCGGCCATCGGGAGCGTAGTTGCGTCGATGAAGAAGTTGATCGCGGATGGCGAAATGGAAAGCTTGACGTCGGAGGGATCTAGATACTGGAAGGTTGGGCGTGCCAGATAAATATTCGATAAGAGAGGCGATCCACGGGTCACGACGTTGTTCGGTGGCAATCGAGTCAAGATTTAGCGATGACAAGGTCTGGAGGCAAGTGTTTCCGCACGTCTGATCTGGTGGTAAAGGTGAGCGGGACAGGGCATCAGCGTCAGAGTGTTTGCGTCCGCAGCGGTATACGACGCGAATGTTGTACTCCTGGATGCAGAGTGCCCATCGCGCAAGGCGGCCAGAAGGGTCTTTCAATGTGGAGAGCCAGCAAAGCGCGTGGTGTAGGGTGGTTGTGGGAGCCTACGTACAGCGTCTGCATATGTGAGCGGCGCGGCTACGGGCTGCATCTCTTGCGAAAAGGCGACAGGCGGAGCCACAGGCTGCGTTGCATAGGTTAGGGGCGCGGCCACAGGCAGAACGGCTGGCGGATAGGCGACAGGAGGGCCTACCGGCTGAGCAGCACGCTGGCAGTGGGCAAGGCTGGATAGAGGCGGCTCGTGGTGCGCAACAGGAACAGCTTGGGTAACCTCCTCCGAAATAGCAGTGCGAAGCGGGGCAGGTAGACGGGTGGTGGTCTCGTGAGTGAAGGGCACAAGGGAAAGTTGGCGGGCGACTTCCTCACGGACGAAGGCTCGAACTTGCTGAAGCAGTGGTGAATTGTCCGGCAGGGTGTCGAAACTGGACAGTGACTCACCACCATGCTGAGGCTGCCGAGTCAGAGTGCGTTGTTTCTTCAACTCGTCGTAGCTCTGACACAAGCTGACGACTTCGGAAACTGTGCTTGGATTTCTTGCCAAGAGCATCTGAAATGCGCCGTCGTCGATGCCCTTCAGGATGTTTTTGACCTTGTCAGATTCGGGCATGGTGTCATTCACACGTCGACAAAGGTTGACGACGTCCTCAATATAACTGGTAAAGGTCTCGCCAGTCTGCTGAGAGCGGACGCGCAAGCGCTGTTCTGCCCTCTGCTTGCGGACAGCCGGCCGACCGAACACTTCAGCACATGACGTCTTGAAGACGCTCCATGTGGGGATGTTGTGTTTGTGGTTATTAAACCACAATTCGGCGACGCCAGTGAGATAAAATATCACGTGGCCCAGCTTGTCGGCTTCATCCCACTTATTGTTGGCGCTCACCAGTTCGTAGTGCTCGAGCCAGTTTTCGACGTCGGTCCCATCCGCACCGCTGAAGACCTTCGGCTCCCGTAGTTTAGGATGGCCAGGGCAGTTGAACTGGAGCGATGGCGTCGATGTAGTGGCGTTGGCAGTCGTGACAGATGGTAGCGTGCGGCTTCGCAGCTCCAGGGTGCAGCAACGGGGATTAACAGCACCTTCCACCAAATGTGCGGAGGTTTATTAGCCGTTAAAGACAGCGACGAGACAGCGTGAAGAACCGTCCAGCGATCGGCACCGCAACGAACCGAAGCACGAGCCGAGAGAGCCTGGCGTTGGCGATGCTGCTCGCTGCAGGCACATCTTCTTCTTCACACATCCTTGAGTTTACAGAATACTAGGAACTCAGTGTGTATTTTGCCGTAGTAACGCGGGATCAAGCGTTTGAAAAGTCTGCATACACAGCGTCAAGGGGGCAGCCATTTTGAATGGGAACGACATCACAATTAAATCCACGGTCATCGAGCTGGAGGTAGTGAACAAAACTTTTCTGGTAGCTTGGAAGAACATAAAAGGCTTAACAACTACCCAGTAGTATTTTCCGAATTACGTTGTTAATTGAAGAGAAACCGGACCCTAATTCCCCCACTTAAACACATACTGCACGGAACTAAGTAGTCGAGTATTCATACTGCACGCAACAGGGCAGAATCTGATATAAAAAAAGCACTTCTCGGTTAATACAACAAGGTAGGACACGTTAAATAGCCACGGGCTGGGGTTCAGGGAGCCCCAAACAATGACTGGAGAGACAAAAACAAAGAAAAGTGTCACAAAGGAACGGAGTAAAGGAAAAAAAAGAAAGAACCTACTTGCAGCATCCCAATGCAGAGCGCACTAGATAGTGAGAAAACAAAACATGGTGAGGACAATTGTAAGGAAGTCTAGAAGGGATTGATTTGAGAGAAAAGAGGCCAGCTAGCCCGACTATTGGAACGTCAGTACAGATCTGAGACAACCATTCTCGGAGATTCGGCCATATATGGCCAATAAGTCGAAGCAGCAATTCCGCACAGAGACAGAGAAAGATGATATCAGTAGAGATTTAGGGGGAGGTAAGATGGAGTCACCCAAAGAGGAGTGTGAGGGCCAAGACCTACGAGACCCGAGAACGAGAACGAGTGCAATCCCCCACTGCGATAAGGAGTTCCTTGATCTTCATTGAACGCCGCGTCCAATGGCGGCCGCGTCAGCAGCACGGGTAAGTGAGCTCTACACATATCTACGTATAACTTTAGCAATATTGGTTCTAGGAGGGTCAGAGTGGTGTCTATTTGTTTGTGAAGATACAAGGAGTTCAACCGGTACAAATATTTCTATTACGAACGAAAATTTCAAATTTTAGGAGCGCAAAACAGTGAGAATCTGTGAAGACAACAACCTTCGGACCACGGGTTTTTTTTTAGAGGTGTCTTGCAATCAAAATTAAACCTAATCACTGGAAAAGTAAATTTGTAATATCATCTGCGATATGTGTTTCTGAATTGTGGAAAGTTTTTTTTTATTGTCTCTGGTTATTAAAACTTGGGTCTGCAATATATTTCATATTTACTTTATTCCGAA